ATACTGTGGAGGCCTCCCTGGAACAGGAGCAGCGTCAGTGTACAAGGAGAAAATTGACGAATGAAGATGGGGACAAGAAGGTGCTGAGCATGAGCTTTCAAACCGATCCGAATCAGGACAAACGCATCGATGTGGTCAGCGCTCAAAACGACAGAGCTCTGAATAAGACTGTTAACATCATATTTGCTGTATAAAGGTAGAGCTTTAGCCTGCACTGCCAGAGTGGAGATGAAGTCGTAATTTTAGACTTGACGGCAATAATGGACCCGCACACTGGCTGCAGTGCAGCCTGCAGAAGATGTATATTTGTGCACAGGTAGTGCACACGCCTGCATTTTTTAATCAATAAGCAACCATGCCGAAAATCAATCTATGAAACAAAGGCACTGAGAAAACGCTGCTTATTTCTTTCGGGGGGGAAGATCGTGACGGAACGCAATCCCACCCTGCCTGGCTGGCACTCGGACTCTTCGGTCGCCCCCTGGCCTTGGGAGCTTGATGATGCTTTCAACCCTCTTCAAAGTTGTGCATGACCTCGAATTTCCAAGCGATCATACCGTCGGCTTTTTCAAAGCCAGTGATGATGACTGCCATTACTGAAGGGCGGGGAGCCCAAGGCCGTGCTCGTACGTTTCCTTCACCCGCCCTTTTCTAACGCATGCATCCTGTCCCCGAAATCGTGCACAAGCCAGAGCGAAGCTATGGGAAATTTCGCAGGCAAGGATGATAGCGGCGAGATGCGGGAAGGACGGGGAGGGAGCGGTTTGGACGAAAGCCAAGGAAAGATTCCACCGCCCACCGAATTTCACCATCGCCGGGAACCAGGGGGGCGTCCCGGAGGACGAGACGGTGGATATGGTGGGGAGGAAGGAGGTTCTGGGATCGGAGGAGCGCACACACCGACGAGCGTAGGTCCTGGACCGCCGTCTTCAGGGGCGCTGGTACTGACGGGGGCGGAGAGGGGCGCTGAGGGGGCCGGGGACGAGATGGCAATTGACGGAGACGATAGAGAGGACGATGTAGTGCCCACTGTCTTCCGGTGGGAGCATGGGGGCCGCCAGGTGCGTTGCATGATAGAAGAAGAAACCTGGGACAGTGATGGGCTTAAAACTGTACAACCAGGAAGGGGGAGGCGCATTCATCGAGGAGAAGTAAGACGTTTCCATCTTTCCTTTACTTGGTAGGTATATATTCAAGGGACATTTAACAACTGGGAGCGGCAGATTCCCATGCATCGGAGCGGAAATGACTTCATGTACATCCATAACCTGAAGCGCGGCAAGCATGTAGGTTGGAGCGCTTGGATGGGAGGAAGAGGTTGGGGTTCTGAGTGATCGCGTGAAAGGGGAGCTGCCGGAGAAATAGGAGCCCATGCAACGTCCCGCAGTCCTCATAAGAACTGCTAACCCCCGTCATCCAGGCCTTCAAGTTCATTGTCGACGATGAGTGGCGCTTCGCCCCCGATCAGCTCACGGTGGCTGACGTGGAGGGTCGCATCAACAACTTCATCGACGTCACGCACTTCAAGCCCTTCAACGAGGACTCCTCTACCCTCGACATCGCACGCAAAGAGGAGGAGCTCTACGGCACAAGCTATCCGGATATAGAGGAGTACAGTGTGAAGGAGCCCCCTCCACTGCCGCCCCACCTGCGTCACATCATCCTCAATAAGGTACGGAGAGAAAATAAACGTCGCAGTCCTACTGCCCGATTCCACTTCCCGCTTGTTTTGAAGGGGTGAAGAGTATATTTATAAGTTTTGGACATGATCACTTTTGATTAATCTTGTCTGCGGGTAATTCGTCCTAAATTTTTTCCATTAGGTGCCAAATGACAAGCATCCGCTTATCCTCCCTGTGCCGCAGCACGTTGCCGTCGACCATCTTTACTGTACTGCCATCAAGGACGGGATGATGGTTTTGGGGGTCACGCAGCGTTTTCGCATGAAGTTTGTCACAACTGTCTATTATTCGATGATGCCTTGAGAAGAAATTTTGTCTAGAGCAAAGGAACAAACTACCACATAGCAACTTCGAATGCATGTCTCTTTGCCGCCTTTCCTTCACTGGCACCATCGCTTCCGATCAGCAGATCCATTTACTTTCCGGCCTCACTCTAAGTTATGTGTTTAAAAGCTTCACGGTGCGTTGCAAGAGAGAAAGGGTGGCTTGTCCGGCCCTCGCCAAGTCACGTAACACGCAACCGTTGACGGCGTCCTTCTCTCTTCTGATTCAAGTATGACGGACTGTTTTGCTTCTATGCCTTATTGATCACAAGCACCCAGGTATGCAGCTCTAACTTTCTCTTTCCGTCGATGTACATCTTATGAATTTCGCGGGCATCATCATAAATTTGTCTTCGTCGCTGTCTTGGAAGAGGCGCAAGCAGCGAATGAGACGAGTGACGAGGATGGTGACACGTCTTTTTGCTGTCTGAATCGATGCACAAATTCTTAAATTTCCCATGAATTGAGGTCTATAGTGACGAACTCATTAGACATTTTGTCAAGAAGTCTCCGTGCTTGTCTTTCGCGGGTATGGTGCTTTTGCAGCCATATTTGTGGCGCCCGATGCCTTTGTTAGTTTAGTTGGTTTGTTTGTAGTAACGGTCTCCCCGTCCTGGGTTCAAGACTTGATATCACTCTCAATTTCCTTTTTTCTCGCAGTGCTCCACACAGAGTACAGAGTGAAATATCTAGATTGTGGCGCTTTCTCCGCCGCATATGAGAAGACGGCCGGAAGACAACTTTAGCAGCAGCAGCTACATGCCAAGCAACAGTAACAGCAGGGGGGCATATGGTGGCGGGATGCCTCAAGCGGGTCCTGGGAGACAGGTAGGGAGCTGTTGCATTGAGAAGACAAATAAAAATATTGCATTCCTTGGTTTAATGTCTATGGGAAAGGTTGTAGAGATATGGCGGGTCGAGCATGGAAAGTTACAGTGCTTTGCCACTGGAGGAGAATCTCCAAGCGGTCTTACATAGCTTGGACACGCACAAAGCGTCCTTGAGTCACTCTCATACAACTTGATTATCCGTTTGGGTGTTAAGCGCGTTCATTGTCAAAGCTTATGCGATCCACTCTCCCCATATCACTCGATCTAAAGTCGAACTACTACTCGACGCCTGAAGACCGGGTGCGCGAGTCGAGCCGGAACATGTTCGAGGAGGAAAACAACAGGCGAATTGGTGACTTAGCGGGGCAGGTTTCCATGCTGAAAGAGGTAGGTGATGTAGGTTGCGAGTGTAGGGTGATGAATAGGCTTTCAGGTGGCGATCGCTAGAAATCACGAATATCGGTAGGGAGGAGGCAGTGTCGCGCGTCCGACATGATTTGAAGAAGGCATGTCTTGCTTACTTTTTTTGAAATGCGGAAAATCTGGTCCTAATCACGTTGCTATCTCTACCCTGCTTTTCCAGCTGACAATCGACATTGGGACTGAGGTCCGCTCTCAAAATCACCTCCTTGATGACATGGTGGGTGGAAAAACAAGAGGATAAAGGAGGATCAGATCGTTTATCTGGAGCATAGAAGAGGATGGGTTGCATTTTCTGTTCTGTGTTCTGATTTCAAGCCTCGTCACTGTGCCAACGCGGTCCCTTGTACACTTTCAAACGCTCTCGCTTCCTCGCTAAATAAAATTTCTACAACAGGGCAGCGGTTTCTTACGGACGGATGGATTGATGGGATCGACTATGCGGCGCCTAAACAAAATGCTGACTACCTCGTCGAGCCGGCACATGCTCTGGCTGGTGGCCTTCGTGGTCTTCGTTTTCATTTTTGTCTACTACATCATCCGGCACAAAGGGTGAAAAGTGTGACTTGGTTACATCGACACCGACTTGAAGAACGTGCGTATCTCGGCATGCACCGTTGTCATCAATTAAACAAGCAGAGAGTGTGTATAAGCGGATGAAGAAACAACGGAACACGGATAAAAAATGGGCGATTTGTCGTGTACGACGTACCGAACCCAAATGATTGCTTTAACATATTTTTTTATTTTTTTGAAATTCTTTGCATGTGGAGATAGCTATGTACATAGTGGCAAAAAGGGACCCATTGCGTGCTGCGAGTTTGTCCCCTCCACCTCCCCGGATGCAGCTGATGCAAGATTAAATTGCTACTAGCTACTTCCCACTTTCGTCGCGACATATTGTGTCCCAGTTCTCGCTATAATATGTAGTACACTCTTGGGTATAGCTTATAATCAAATTGTTGCTTTTGAACGCCTCGAGTGTTCGTGTCAAATTTCTGAGAATCAGACATGTGAAACTAGAAAGAAGGAAGCCTGGAAATGTAACGGAGAAAAAAACATCGAGCGAACCAGTTGACATAAGTGTCTTCTTCCTTCCCCCGTTATGCCTTCACATATTAACGGGTACTCGATATCTCATCGCGTAATAAATCACATAGGCGAAAGCTCAGGAAAGCCAAGGCGCGGTCGACAATCCATTTCTACACTTGCTCCTTTGCTTCGCGCCCAAGACTGCCGCAATTCGTCTGGCCTTGCAAAAAAGTGCCCCTGGCGGACTCAGCACAAAATATAATGCCTCGCCAGTCCACCAACACTACCTCAATCTTCTCTGGAAAACACCATCTTGCAAGCTTGCGTCGAGAACGCCCTGCGTCGAACAAGCCTTCTACCTCGGGGTCCCCACGTTACCACAATCTCCTCAGCCGCCTAGTGGACCTCGAAGCTGCGCTAGAGGTTGCCGCCCGAGAGCGTGCATGGGAAGAGAGCAGCTATAGGTCCCTGAAAGAAAAATATGCCTCGACAAAAGCCGCTCTTGCGGAGCTTAAGGCAGAGAAAATGGAGCTGGAAAAGCAGTCTGAGGCCACGATGGCGAAATGGCGAGCACATCATGATCGACAAGTGAAGGAGCTTGCCATTTTCCAGGTGATACAAATATTGGTTTAGAATCTGGTGCAACTTGATAAGTGTATCCCAGCGTGAAGATTTGGCGTGTCATGCCCCTCCGATTTCCCCCCTATTCCCTTCTACCCGCACATCCTTCCCGAACGCAGCAACAAGCCGAAGAGCTTGCCAAGCTCTCCTCCCTCCGCACGCAATGGGCTCAAGAGGCTGAAGACTTGAAGGCTGAATGCGAGACATTCCGTTCTCTCTACGACTCAGCGCGTGCAGAGGCTGAAAAAAGCAAGGAGGAGTTCATCGCCGTCGTGGAGGACCAGGCCCGGAGCCAGAAGGAAATGATTAATGCTGCCCGCTTAGAGGCTGAGCAGATGCAGGCGCGTGTCCGAGAGCTTGAAGAGGAAGTAGATCAAGGTCGAAGCCGTGAGGAGGTCCGTCGCCAGCTGGAAAGAGACCTGGACGTGGCGCATGCCGCCCTCCGCCAGAGCCAGGCGGTGGTACAAGCCACCGAAGAAGCACGAGAGCGCGTGGAAGTGCAGTCGCAGCGGGAAGGTGTCATTCATGAGGCGCAGCTGGCAGAGTGGATGGCCAAGGCCGCAGCAGTGACGAGTGAGCGGAAGGGCCTGGAGGCACGCATCGAGGGCTTGGAAAAGGAACTGGCTCAGGCGGTGGAAGAGCGGCGCGGGAAAAGAGTAGAGCTGGAAGAGGCAGCAGAGGAAATTGGCCGGCTGCGAGAAGCATTGGAGATATCAGAACGTGCAGTGGAGGAGGGGCGGAGGAAAGCAACGCGGGAGGGGGAAGAGTTACGCCGGGCTTGGCGAGAGGAAAAATCTGAGTGGGATGAGAAAATTGAAAGGCTAGAGCGGCAAGTGCAGAGAACAGAAACGGAAATGAAGGAATTGAGACGAGAGAGGCTTGTGGCGGACGAGCGTCTCGCCGCGAGTGAGGAAAACACTCGACACGGGGTCGGGGAGGAGGCACGGCGACTGCAAGAGCGGGTAGCTGATTTGGAGGAAGCATTAGAGGAAGAGCGCGTGCGAGGCATCAAAGTCGAGAACGACTGGAAATTTGTGGTCAGGGATCTGCACAGACAGCTTCGGGAACCGACACCACCTGAAAGGTGCCCGCATGCGGACTCGATGGCGCCGGGCATAGGTGCAGAAGCAGAGGAGATGGCAGCGACTGCGCGCGACCAGAGTTTACGGCGGGAGGAAAGGCAAGAGGAGGATCTACGGGCGATGACCTTATTGAGAGAAGAGTTGGAAAAGGTCAAATTGAGGAGCATGCTGGCGATCCAAAAGGCAGAGCGGCGCGCCGATGCATACAAGAGCAAATGCCTGGAGTTGCATGAGCGATGGAAGGAGGGCAGTGTGGTCGGAAGGTTGTAAGAGGGCTGTAAATATGAAGAAGAGAGAAATCGTATAGATAAATGCTGGTTAGATCAAGCAATACCAGGCGACACCAATTTCTTTCCTTCTCCGAGGGAGGCATTAAGAACGATACGAACTACCTCACTTTCTTTTTATTCTACGGGTGGACTATTAGCGTGGTCCCGTCGAGCTCTGCCATATTGCTGCTACAGGTGGAACTCACAGATATCGAACTTAAAGATAAGAAGAAATGCGACTATTCGTCCTCTGCGACTGTGGTGAGACGGAGAAAGTTTGCTGTCTTTGGCGTCGCATGCATGTGTATTGCTGGCCCGGACGCCAATTCTGTTCGCATGTAAGCTTGAGCGGGAGAAGCGCGTTGGCTTCAGCCTGGGCATAAAGGAGAGGAGCCAGTCTTCTCCATTTTAGGCAGGGAAACCACTTCAACGGTAGCTTTGGGGGGATCTAGTTGATGAGATTTACAGCTCGGCCTAGCATTTATTTCCAACGAGAGTACCGTAGTAATTGCTCTAACTCTCACCAGCAAAATGAGATATTTCACTATCCCCGCTTTAATTTTATTCTGTTAAACGGCCACGTCACTGGTATTCTAAAATGTCCAAGGGCCTGCCATCTCGGCCCCTCCCACACCTTGTAGCTTGCGCAATGCAACGTACCTTCGAACTCGACGAAAGCCGGTGCTGCGGCAGGCACCATCTAACTACTCCCTTATCTATTTCCCTCTGCTAGAGCGAAGTGTATTTCGTGAAAATGCTTAGGCATGTGGTCCCTATACAGTTGCCTTGCCTGTTGAGGAGGTTAGTTGTGGGCCGCAGGCGACTCGCCCTCTCCAGCCCTTTGACCGTGGCCGAGCGAGTCCCAGACCGCCTGGGCGCCATGATGAAATCTGAATGGCCGCACATTATTCTTATACCATATACACACGTCATTTCCTCTCTTTGGATCGATCGTTAGGTCCCCAAGATGCGGAGGCACGACGTTTTTGACTTCCTCGATGCTGGAGGGGAGGTAGAGCCCAAACAGACTTGCCCCCACATTCACAGCTCAAGTCATTTGAGCCTGACACCTGATGATCTACTCTTCTCCATCCAAGCTGGTCAATGTGGTGTCTGCAAGAGCAGGATGGAGCCATGGGTTTGTCTCGGCTGCAACGCTGTACATTGCTCTCGCTACGTGAACGCTGATGCTGAGGCGCACTTTTTTGCTTCCCTCACAGCAACGTCAGAAAAGAGAAGCCTTCATTTTGAGCGCCGTGGAGACCAGTCGACTGGTTTTGTGGACTCATTTATCTCAATCCACAAGGAGTTGACAAATCGAAAAGCAGGGGTGGGCGACGTCAAAGCGGAAGTGATGGAGAACGTAGAAAGCGAGAATGCGAGTGAGGGTCATGGATTAGCTTTGTCGCTGAGTGACTTGTCTGTCTGGTGTTATATTTGTGGAAGCTACGTCAAACACGATAGACTCTTACCTCTCCTTGTACGAGCAGAAGCCCTCAAATTCTCAACGCCAGAGAAAGTCATGCTTCTGGAGGGTGCTCAGACACGCTTTAGGACGGGGATCGTCATTCCGCAAAGCCTGACCGAAGATATTCCCGGCTCAAAGTCGACACCAATTCAAGAGCTCTTCGATCATCTCAAGAGTAGAAGTCTGCTGGCGAAAATGATCCCGTTCCACGACCTTAATGAGGCTCGAGCTTGTGAAGGTTTGCAGAGCGTACTCGTGTTGGAGAGGGGATCTCAAGCAAGTGACTCCATATCAGATCGGACAGAGGCTGGAAGTAAGAACTCTGTCGCCCGTAAATTGAGAGATCGTATTCAAAAGGCTATTTTGGAAAAAGACGAATTGACGGTCGTTCGAGTAGGAAGAAAGGAGGTGGAGGAAGGCGTTGAAAGCCTGGAGTCCTGTTTAAGGCTTATGCTTTCTTCTTATTGATAGCGATCCTGCCTTTGGCGGTAAGATTTCAATCAACAATGCATATCTATAATGAGAATGAGAATATCTCTTAACCACTACGAAGCTACGCAGTTTTAATGTAGGTATTAGTTTCGGTGGATTAAGTGACATCGATCGCAAACGTCCACCCACAGCTGCAATCAATCGATACCCTCGATGCTTGTTATGAATATTGCTCTCTCAATGCGGGATAAGAGACGCCTTTTTTCTTCAGCTGGAATACCGTGACCCGCCAGTGCTATTGCTGCGTTGCGGTGTCCTTTATCTTCGATCCTGATTCCAGTGTATATGAGGTGGTTGTGGCCAAGACACTGTTACCCACACTTTTGCAGAGGAGATTTCGTAATTAAGTCCTAGGAATAGCGTATGGTGTGTTTGATTGAGGGATAGGATAAAGGCGCGAGTAATCATGTCTATGGCTGAGTGTTCAAAGAAGATCCATGTTCCTAATGATGGAAATGGCAAAGAAAAACATTTTTTCAGATAGATATATATATATGTGTCACACAAAGCTACTTACGGGGGACTTGTCTCTTTCCTTATCGCACGACATAAGGGTTTCGTCCCTTTCCTTCTGTGATGCTCTCTGCTTTTGAACTTTTCAAAAAAAGCAAGACAATTATTGACCCGACACTTAAAAATTGAAAATTCTTTTTAGCACATGTCAAAGCCTATCATCTTATCCGCTCACACGCTCACTCTATCACCAGTGCCGCTACACTGGGGAACAATTATACTCTTCCCCTGACTCGGACGTAAGAGAAGCATATTTTGTCTTGTCGCCCACAGAACCTGCGCATACCTCGCACTGGGGGTAGCGAGTTAATGATTACCACTATCGTCAAGCTCCTATTTTCACTTGAAAATCATAGAAGGAGCTTAATGATAGTGATAACCATTAACTCGCTACCCCCAGTGCGAGGTATGCGCAAGTTCTGTGGGCGGCAAGACAAAATGATAATACACGCCCGAGTCAGCGGAATTATCCCCCAGTGTAACGGCGCTGGTGATAGAGTAAACAGATAAAATGATAGGCTTTCACACATGGTTTATTGAATTTCAATTCTTAAGCGTCCTTCAAAGTGCATCATTCTAGATCGAGCAGGAGTTTGCATACAAACGACCAGAGTTTCGCGAGGCAAGTGTCGAAAGCATGTTGTAAAAATGCCCCGTGAAGAATTTGACCGATCTCGCCGAGAAACCCAGAGGCATGGGTCTTCATTTTCTCGGGGGAACTCAATGGCGAGAGCAAAACAAAGAATCTTTGAAAGCCACACCTTGCTCGACTTTGAACGTTGGTGTATTACTCAGATTGAGATGTAGAGCTTCAGGTCTAATTTGTTACGAGTTCGTGCAGCTGTAACGAAGAGGTTTCTACCTCATAAGACATCAATTTTAGCACGAAGTTTTGGCCTTTAACACAGAGAAGTAGACGAGCACAAGTTTGTTCCCCCCCACCTCAAACCTGGCAACCAAACGGCATATTGAAGAGGGCAGATCCTGCCCGGAGGATGGAGAACCTGCGAAAGTTTCTCTCTGTCATGCTTGTTGGTTTAAAAGTGTGAGGAGACAATGCCAAGACCCCCTAGCTTTGTGGGTTCATGCTGGGGCTGGCTCGTAACGGTGAACTGTATGGAGTCACTCAGCAACTTTCTAAAAGAAAAGCTCTAGAACAAAAAATGTTGCTGCTACCCACCTTGGTCCTTTATCTGCTTGTGGTCGTCCAGTCATTCCATACAAAGTCTAAGGGATTTGGAGCTCCGAGCAGGCAAGGATCAGGGGACTTCAGGCAGGATTACCGCCTTCAGAGCAAGCTGAAAAAGTTCGTCCTTTCAAAAAGAACCTCTTGTGACGGGAATTGCCAACGTCTAGACGCACGTGACACAGGACGTCAAGATGGCTACTCAATGCATAAAGCATTCAATTCTGCTATTGATGATAATGATATTGATTCAGAAAGAACGCGCATCAATGCTACGTCCGATCAAAGTCACTCTAGTCCTCGGCACATGCTAGGTAAAGTACGGCAGAGGAGATGGATCAGCAAGAGAAAACTGAAAAAGCAGCTACACGCATGCGAAGCCCGGCTTCAGGAAACGCAGGAGGCCTTGAATGCCCCGACCTTTCTCTTTGTTCAAATGGCCCAGCACTGCACCTTGGAAATGACAGCTGGACAGTACTACCTCAAAACCTCAGACATGGATGCCGAGACCTACGTATTCGCAGAGATGCCAAGTCAATATGCGACTGCCTGGCCAACAAGCTATTTCGTAGGATACCTTTTCGATGAATTGTTTCCCACCACGAAACCCAACACCGCGTTCACATTCAATGTTTACCAAAACCAATCTGAAAAAGCGTTCGAAGGGCCGCTTATATCTGTTCTGATGTCATCACATCAAATTAATATCCAGGAAGACAACTCGACCCTAGTTATCTACGGGCTTACCCAATCTTCTGAACAGCGAGAGACCAGCCCGGTGTCTCATTTTTTCCGGGGCGTAGATCCTACTGATAACGCATCGGTGACTTTTGAGCACTGCTCCATTTTTATCGACCCGGCACAAGATGACAA